TTTAGAAATAATGGATGAAATTATTGTCACATGTAAGGTTATAAAATAAAAACTATAAGCAGTTCCAAGAAATGAAACAAGGAATATCATAATTCAGGGCCAACTTTTCAATGCAGCTTCATTAAATATTTTTTTAGATGATGTCATCAACTTTTGGTATTGTGATAAATGGGTACACTAATTTTGATACCTACATAAACAACAGTAATCATAATATAACTGTTTTGGAAACTGATTATAGCATCATGTTTACTTATTGGTCTTAGTAGAGGATGTGGGTTTTAACCTCCTGTCCTAATATAACAATTTCCTGTGTAGATTTTGCAAAAATTATCACTGAAGATTGCTTGATACGTCAAAAAGCAGCTGAAAAAACGAACAATGGTTATGAAACAATGTGAGATGCACTTTGTGGGTCAAAAGCGCGCAGTCCAGGCCTGCACTTATGCACTGCACGCATTTAACCTGGCCATTGTGACCAGACAATGCCGCGAAATATCCTCTCGGCATATGAATAGTGCAAATGCGTTTGACAACGTATTCCTCTAACCTACATCGTGTCAATGTTCTATTAACATACAGTTCTTGCAGGAAGTTTACAATGCGATGTACACCCAATAACGCCGACTTTGATCGACCGATCGACCTTTATACGTTCCAGTTTGGCCCCTCTAACAGAAAATTTTTGCCAGAGAAAGTCTCGCTTTTTACGCGTTCGTGAAAGTTCATTTTTCTAATGTTCTTTTTTCGGTGAAATTCGTTCCATATTCAGGCCGTGTATTTTATACCTGCTAAGTTGTAAATTTTTGGCAAAAAATCAACGGAGATTTATTGCAGTAGCTGCTTTTTAGGGCGCCCTTTAGTAGTTTACAGTTATTTCATAGTTGGAAAGCTTCTGGGAATTTGCGGGGCTTGCAAAAATTTGACTGGCGAGTGCGGGAGTCGTAAAAAATGCTGGGTTATTGAGGGTTGTAAATGTTTTAGATTGTAATAAAAAGTGGCTGGGTGCGTACCTGGGGGTGGCGGTGCCGACAAAGGGCTTGCGTAATTGCGTTTTATAATGCTGTAAAAATTTGTTGTTACCCAAATATAAAGTAGAAGATTGGACTAAAAGTGTCTTATATGACGGTATTACCATAAAAATATAGGTAGTTGATTTTTTTGTATAAATGTAGACCAGTCTTTTAGTAAATAGTGTGATGCTGTTGTCAGGTGAGGTGTCGGAAGTTAACACAAATATTTAGATACCTGGACACATTTTTTACACGAAATTTACGACAGAAATGACCCATTTTAAAATACATTTCCGTTATGTTAAACTTTAAGTGTTTTCAGTGAAAACAAAAACCGATTTTCTAGTAATAGTATATATTTTTTTACATTAAAAACCTCAAGATTATTTAAAATTTTTTCAATTCTTTTAAATCCTTAAAAAAAACTGCACTAGTACCACCAAGATTCTTTCGAACTTTTTCAAAAATAATATTAAACGGGGACTCCCAACATTTTTTCCAATTTTCTTTTTTTTTTTTTAATGAAACATAAGGAGCCACCAAGTTTCTTTTAACTTCTTTAAAAAAAAAACTACCCTCCTAACCCATAGGTTTTTCTTTTTTCTTTCAAAAATAAAGCACCACAACCTCCAAGACAGTATTCACGATTCTTTAATTTTTTCCAAAAATGAAGTGTCAGGGGCTCAATTTTTTTTTTAACTTAAACACAGCCTTTTTTCTAGAACAAAATGCCATAAGCCCTCAAGATTCTTTTGAACCTTTTCAAGAACAAAACATTCTGAGCCCCTAAGCTTGTTTAAAAAATAAAACTCCAAATATTCTCAATAATCTTACAAAAATAACACCAGCAGTCCATAAGATTCTTTTAAATTCTTAAAAAAAATTACACCAGTAAAAAAAAAGATTCTACAGACAATTAAAATCCCCCAAAATTCTTTTAAATTTAGCAACTCCTCACATAATTTCGACATTTTCAAGAATAAAACACCATTGGCCCCACGAGGAATCCCAAGATTTTTCCAATTTTTTTCAAAAATAAAACATAGTAGCCCACGAAGGTTTTGTAAACTTAAAAAAAAAAAACGACAGCAGAAACCTCAAGATTCTTTAAAATTAAAAAAGGACACAAAAGCCCCTAAGATTCTTTTAAAAAAGACATGGGAGCTCCCAAAATTTTTTCAAATTTTTGTCAAAAATGAAACACCAGGAGCCCCCAAGATTTTTGTAACTTCTAAAAAAAAACTACACTTGTAACCTTAGAATTATTTCGAATTGTAAAAAAGACCCTAGGATTCCAGGATTCTTCAAAAATTTTCAAAAATAAAATACCAGGAGTTCCCAATTTTTTTTTTAATTTAGTAACCCTCATATTTTTTTCGAACTTTTGAAGAACAAACAAAGCCCCCAAGATTTTTTGAAATTTTTTCAAAAATAAAACAGCAGAAGGCCGAAGATTCTTTTAAATTCTTAAAAACAAATGACACTAGTAACCCCTAGATTATTTCAAATTAAAAATAAAAGATTCTACAGACATAATTAAAATCCCCCTAAAATTCTTTTAAATTTAGTAACTCCTCACATTATTTCGACCTTTTCAAGAATAAAACACCATTGGCCCCACGAGGAATCCCAAGATTTTTCCAATTTTTTTCAAAAATAAAACATAGTAGCCCACGAAGGTTTTGTAAACTTAAAAAAAAAACGACAGCCGAAACCTCAAGATTCTTTAAAATTAAAAAAAAAAGACACAAAAGCCCCTAAGATTCTTTTAAAAAAGACATGGGAGCTCCCAAAATTTTTTCAAATTTTTGTCAAAAATGAAACACCAGGAGCCCCCAAGATTTTTGTAACTTCTAAAAAAAAAACTACACTTGTAACCTTAGAATTATTTCGAATTGTAAAAAAGACCCTAGGATTCCAGGATTCTTCAAAAATTTTCAAAAATAAAATACCAGGAGTTCCCAATTTTTTTTCTAATTTAGTAACCTCATATTTTTTTCGAACTTTTGAAGAACAAACAAAGCCCCCAAGATTTTTTGAATTTTTTTCAAAAATAAAACTGCAGAAGGCCGAAGATTCTTTTAAATTATTAAAAACAAATGATACTAGTAACCCCAAGATTACTTCAAATTAAAAAAAAAAAGATTCTACAGACATAATTAAAATTCCCAAAATTCCTTTAAATTTAGTAACTTCTCACATTATTTCGACCTTTTCAAGAATAAAACACCATTGGTCCCACGAGGGATCCCAAGATTTTTCCAAATTTTTTCAAAAATAAAACACACGAAGATTCTGTAAACTTAAAAAAAAACGACAACAGAAACCTCAAGATACTTTAGAATCCTAAAAAACACAAGAGCCCCTAAGATTCTTTTAGAAAAGACATGGGGGCTCTCAAAATATTTTTTAATTTTTTCAAAAATAAAACACCAGGAACCTCCAAGATTATTGCAACTTCTAAAAAAAAAAAACTACACTAGTAACCTTAAAATTATATAAAAATAAAAGACCAGGAGTTCCCAATTTTTTTTTTTATTTAGTAACCCTCAGAGGCCTCAAGGGTCTTTGAAATCTCTAAAAAAAGCTCTATAACTTTTTTAAAAATGGACACCAGGAACCTCAAGATCCTTTCAAATTCTGAAAAAAAAAACACAAGATTCTTTAAATTTTTCTCAAAAATAAAATACCGGGAATCCCCAAATCTTTTAAATTCTGAGGGTTACAGATTTTTTCGATCTTTTTCAAAAATAAAACAATGACCCACCAACATTCTTCTTCTTCTTCTTCTTAAAAAAAGAACACCAGCAACCTGAAGATCATTACCAATTCTAAAAAAAAACACACAAAATTTTTAATTTTTTTAAATAAAAGAGGAGGAGCCCCCAAAATTATTTCAATTTTAGTAACCTCCAGATTCTTTCAAATTCTTAAAAAAAAACGACATCATTGACCAAGATACATTTGATTTATTAAAAAAATTACGCTAGTAACACCAAGATTTTTTCGAATTTTTTGAAAAACGAAAGATTATAAGCCCTAATTTTTTTTTATTGTTAAAACAAGTCATGGGGACCCCAACATTCTTTCAAATTTTTTAAAAAAAGACATCAGAGATCTGAAGATCCCTTTAACTTTTTTGAAAAGGTGTTAGAGATTCTCCAAAATTTTTTCAAAAATAAAACACCTGGAATAGAGTCCCCAAGATTCTTTTAAGTCTACTAGTACACCAGAAGTCATCAAAATTCATTTAAATTTAGTAACCCAAAAATGTTCAAAGCGATAACAGTTGTTCCTTTTTATAAAGAAAAGAAGTGATGATCGCTCAGACAATTACGTAATGTAAAGTCGCATTTACACACCTGCAATTTGGGCAAGTCAAGCTTGGCGAAAAATATATCGAAAACACCCCGATTCAGTTTGTTATGTGTTGTCAACCATAAATGTAAAAATTTGAATCCCGCCATGTTTTTAGCTCATTTCTCATGCTGAAACGTGTTTGTTTTACAATGCTGATGATGGTGACGCAATTACAGAATTAATCTGACTTATCTAGCTTGCTAATTTGCAGCTTTGTGAACGTTCCGTACAAAATTATAGGCAAATACAGTTTATTACGACGAGGTAGACAATATATTCTCAATTTTTTTCTACGATTGTTCAGAAAAATCCTCATTATATTACGTGTGTTGAAATAGTCGAACTTTTAAACTCTTCAATTTAAAAACATGTATTTATGACCGCGTTTTATTCTACACACTTCCCTATTTTTGTTTACGAACATTTTTTTTTTCCACACGAAACAAATCCTTATCAAGCGGATTGTTTTTCCATTCCGTGATCATAGATCGCAACAATAAAGAAGGTCAATCTCTCAGTCAAAAATAACAACAACACCACACACAAAAAAAAAAACATTAATTAGTCGAGTACCGAAATCCTAAAAATAGATCCGCCAACACCACACCCAAAACACGACTAAAGACCTATTTTAAAAACCGTCATTTATTGAAAGAAATTACAACAAACTCCAGAAAACAGTGTCAATAAATACAAGTTTAACCCAGCAAGTACGCCTTGGCCAAGGCCAGGACCGGAGCTCCGGTGGCCGGTTTAGGGTACTCTCCGGCCGATGCGGCAATATCAAGATGGCTGTATTTCAGCGGCCTGTCATTTCCGGATCCGTGCTTGTCCAATCCCGAGGCGAGGATGAGGAATGCGGCAGGTCCTGCAATTGTTTTTGATTTTTTGTACGCTGTTTACACGCTAAATGGCGGATAATAAGATCAATAACATTGAAAGTTTTTTACTCGGCCTCTTTCTAATTTATTCAATATAATGCACTAGATTATGCAATAATATGTAACAGGTACCTAATGACATAACAATCGAACGATTATAGAGTGGACGAATGGCGCCTGGCTCTCGGAATCTCAAACAACCCGCCAAAATTCGAAAAAAAAACAAAACTATAGTGCACGAGACGCCAGTGTCCGTATTTCTTACCCTGGTGTCCCCTAGGTGTCCTCGACGAGGGCTGATTGTTGCCCTGGCGCACGTCGTCCCCGACGCACTCTCCCCTATGCATCTGGAAGTCCTCTTGGCGCACTCTCGAAATTTCGAAAATGTCGCCGATGGCGTCCCCGGCTCGCTGCACTCGCCCGGAATTTCCGGATTTGTGTGCCGGCCCGTTGTCCATCACTGTGACATCACCGGATTAAATATAGAGACAATAATTATATACACACAAAACTGTTATATGTTTACTATGATGTACTTGCATGCAACATCGCAATTTGACCTTTTCGAAAGAATGAATTGAAACAAAAGTCAAGGTTGGCGCAGTATTTAGAAAGAATTATTGCTGGCATGTTCAGATGCAGCACGTGTTTCTGGCTTGACGTAACATTGAAGTCTTTCGCGAGACATCGACGGATTGATGGTTTTAATGGATGGGGTAATTTGGGGGAAATGCATAGTTGATAAATGTGTGTGTGTGTGTTTAGAGGGGGAATATGGTAGTGATAACGAACGAATTGTTTATAATAATTTTTTGTTGTTACGTTGGCTAAGAATTAATTTTATGTCATCTACGTAATTGTGTTATACATATGCAGGTGCTTGTAAAACTAAAAAAATACAGTTGCTACATTCACGTAATACTGGGCTTCCTTTATGTAACTGAAGGATAATTGTGATTTCCTTCATCACAGATACAGACACCTTTGAATGTTTATCGAGGGTATAGGCAATTGAAAAATAGGTAAATAAATATAATTTTTGAGTTTCTTTTTTGGATTTTGGTCCTCCGGTATAACATTTCACGTTGCTTGTGGTCTGATAATCCAGCTTTATTTTACTTTCGGAGGTTATCCTGAAAAAATTAGCCACATCAAATTTTAGGATTTATATAAGAAACTGTACAGGGATTTTACGGGCCCACAATTTAAAAACGGTTTAAGTATACGACTTGCCGTTTATGCCATTATAAAAAAAAAAAAAACATTCAAGGACCTCAGTAGGTCAATTCTGAACACCATTTCTAAGTACAGTAAATTTCAGGAGTCTTTGTTATCAAATAAGGAAATTAGTACCATCACCTCCGTATGTCAACCGAGGTATTAAAAAAAAACATTTTTCGAGTTTGCTCACGATTTAAAAACCGTTCAAGTTCAAGTACTCTACAACTTTTGGTTTAAATCGTTCAACTCCTTGGCTTTTCATGGTCCCAAAAAATTATTTTCAGAGCGGATAAGTTAGCCGTTCGGATTTGAGAGATCCATAAATCGAATGTCATTCTTCTATAGATAACAAAACATAAAAAAAATTAATAAAATGTGGAAGTTCTGTAAGTTAATTCTGGACTCGGGTTCAGATTCAAGAGGACGAAACTAGTTAGTACGGTAAATTTCAGGACTCTCCTTTACAGAATAAGGAAATTAGTGCCACATTCCCCGTATCTCAAAAAAAAAAACATTTTTCGAGTTTACGGGCTCACCATTTAACAACGGTCCAAGTGTCAAACTTCTGGTTTACATCATTGAATTCCTTAGTATTTTATAGCCCAGCAAACATATTTTTGTAACTTGTAAGTTAATCGTTTACGTTTAAGAAACCGAGAAATCCTACCATGTCATTTTTCTATAGATAACAAAATATCAAAAAATCAAAAAAATTCAGCGAACTCCGTGGGTCAATTCTGAACTCGGATTCGGATCCAAACGATCGAAATTAGTTAGTACAGTAAATTTCAGGAGTCTCCGTTATCGAATAAGGAAATTATTACCACAATCTCCGCATGTCAGCTGAGATATTGAAAAAAGGAAAAACATTTTTAGAATTTATGAGCTCACCATTTAAAAACGGTCCAAGTGTCAAACTTCTGGTTTATATCATTCGACTCCTTGGTGTTTTGTGGCCCAGCGAACTTATTTTTGTAACTGGTAAGTTAGTCGTTCGCGTTTGAGAAACCGAGAAATCCTACCATGTCATTTTTTTATAGATAACAAAATATCAAAAAATCAAAAAAATTCAGCGAACTCCGTGGGACAATTCTGAACTCGGATTCGGATTCAAACGATCGAAATTAGTTAGTACAGTAAATTTCAGGAGTCTCCGTTATCGAATAAAGAAATTATTACCAGAATCTCCGTATGTCAGCTGAGATATTGAAAAAAGGAAAAAATTTTTAGAATTTACGGGGTCACCATTTAAAAACGGACCAAGTGTCAAGCTTCTGGTTTATATCATTCGATTCCTTGGTGTTTTGTGGCCCAGCGAACTTATTTTTGTAGCTGGTAAGTTAGTCGTTCGCGTTTGAGAAACCGAGAATTCCTACCATGTCATTTTTCTATAGATAACAAAATATCAAAAAATCAAAAAAATTCAGCGAACCCCGTGGGTCAATTCTGAACTCGGATTCGGATTCAAACGATCGAAATTAGTTAGTATAGTAAATTTCAGGAGTCTCCGTTATCGAACAAGGAAATTATTACCACAATCTCCGTATGTCAGCTGAGATATTGAAAAAAGGAAAAACATTTTTAGAATTTAGGGGTTCACCATTTAAAAACGGTCCAAGTGTAAAACATCTGGTTCATATCATTCGATTGCTTGGTGTTTTGTGGCCCAGCGAACTTATTTTTGTAACTGGTAAGTTAGTCGTTTACGTTTGAGAAACCGAGAAATCCTACCATGTCATTTTTTTATTGATAACAAAATATCAAAAAATCAAAAAAATTCAGCGAACTCCGTGGGTCAATTCTGAACTCGGATTCGGATTCAAACGATCGAAATTAGTTAGTACACTAAATTTCAGGAGTCTCCGTTATCGAATAAAGAAATTATTACCACAATCTCCGTATGTCAGCTGAGATATTGAAAAAAGGAAAAACATTTTTAGAATTTACGGGCTCACCTTTTAAAAATGGTCCAAGTGTCCAACTTCTGGTTTATATCATTCGATTTCTTGGTGTTTTGTGGCCCAGCGAACTTATTTTTGTAACTGGTAAGTTAGTCGTTCGCGTTTGAGAAACCGAGAAACACTACCATGTCATTTTTCTATATACAACAAAATATCAAAAAATCAAAAAAATTCAGCGAACTCCGTGGGTCAATTCTGAGCTCGGATTCGGATTCAAACGATCAAAAGTAGTTAATACAGTAAATTTCAGGAGTCTCCGTTATCGAATAAAGAAATTATTACCACAATCTCCGTATGTCAGCTGAGACATTGAAAAAAGGAAAAACATTTTTAGAATTTACGGGCTCACCATTGAAAAACGGTCCAAGTGTCAAACTTCTGGTTTATATCATTCGATTCCTTGGTATTTTGTGGCCCAGCGAACTTATTTTTGTAACTGATAAGTTAGTCGTTCGCGTTTGAGAAACCGACAAATCCTACCATGTCATTTTTCTATAGATAAGAAAATATCAGAAAATCAAAAAAAATCAGCGAATTCCGTGGGTCAATTCTGAATTCGGATTCGGATTCAAACGATCGAAATTAGTTAATACAGTAAATTTCAGGAGTCTCCGTTATCGAATAAGGAAATTATTACCACAATCTCCGTATGTCAGCTGACATATTGAAAAAAGGAAAAATATTTTTTGAATTACGGGCTCACCATTTAAAAACGGTCCAAGTGTCAAACTTCTGGTTTATATCATTCGATTCCGTGGTGTTTTGTGGCCCAGCTAACTTATTTTTGTAACTGGTAAGTTAGTCGTTCGCGTTTGAGAAACCGAGAAATCCTACCATGTCATTTTTCTATAGATAACAAAATATCAAAAAATCAAAAAAATTCAGCCAACTCCGTGGGTCAATTCTGAACACGGATTCGGATTCAAACGATCGAAATTAGTTAGTACAGTAAATTTCAGGAGTCTCTGTTATAGAATAAGGAAATTATTACCACAATCTCCGAATGTCAGCTGAGATATTGAAAAAAGGAAAAACATTTTTAGAATTTACGGGCTCATCATTTAAAAACGGCCCAAGTGTCAAACTTCTGGTTTATATCATTCGATTCCTTGGTGTTTTGTGGCCCAGCGAACTTATTTTTGTAACTGGTAAGTTAGTCATTCGCGTTTGAGAAACCGAGAAATCCTACCATGTCATTTTTCTATATATAACAAAATATCAAAAAATCAAAAAAATTCAGCGAACTCCGTGGGTCAATTCTGAACTCGGATTCGGATTCAAACGATCGAAATTAGTTAGTACAGTAAATTTCAGGAGTCTCCGTTATCGAATAAGGAAATTATTACCACAATCTCCGTATGTAAGCTGAGATGTTGAAAAAAGGAAAAACATTTTTAGAATTTACGGGCTCACCATTTAAAAACGGGCCAAGTGCCAAACTTCTGGTTTATATCATTCGATTCCTTGGTATTTTGTAGCCCAGCGAACTTATTTTTCTAACTGGTAAGTTAGTCGTTCGCGTTTGAGAAACCGAGAAATCCTACCATGTCATTTTTCTATAGATAACAAAATATCAAAAAATCAAAAAAATTCAGCGAACCCCGTGGGTCAATTCTGAACTCGGATTCGGATTCAAACGATCGAAATTAGTTAGTATAGTAAATTTCAGGAGTCTCCGTTATCGAACAAGGAAATTATTACCACAATCTCCGTATGTCAGCTGAGATATTGAAAAAAGGAAAAACATTTTTAGAATTTAGGGGTTCACCATTTAAAAACGGTCCAAGTGTAAAACATCTGGTTCATATCATTCGATTGCTTGGTGTTTTGTGGCCCAGCGAACTTATTTTTGTAACTGGTAAGTTAGTCGTTTACGTTTGAGAAACCGAGAAATCCTACCATGTCATTTTTTTATTGATAACAAAATATCAAAAAATCAAAAAAATTCAGCGAACTCCGTGGGTCAATTCTGAACTCGGATTCGGATTCAAACGATCGAAATTAGTTAGTACACTAAATTTCAGGAGTCTCCGTTATCGAATAAAGAAATTATTACCACAATCTCCGTATGTCAGCTGAGATATTGAAAAAAGGAAAAACATTTTTAGAATTTACGGGCTCACCATTTAAAAATGGTCCAAGTGTCCAACTTCTGGTTTATATCATTCGATTTCTTGGTGTTTTGTGGCCCAGCGAACTTATTTTTGTAACTGGTAAGTTAGTCGTTCGCGTTTGAGTAACCGAGAAACACTACCATGTCATTTTTCTATATACAACA